AGGTAAGCCTAATTGTCTTTGCTGCTCGGCTGATAATTTGCCATCAGTTTTGTCTGTTTCACTTGTCTCACCTGATTGGCTATCTATAGTTACCATGTGATCTGATTGGCTGGATGGATGGGATGAGTATTGATTGGATGACTGAGATTGAGATGAGACTGAACCAGTGTCTAATTGGCTCATTTGATATGGAGAGAGTGTATGTGAAGCGGAATGACGAACTGGGGGTGGTGGGGGAGACGGGGAGGTTGGTGATATGTCTGAAGCTTGTTGCTGTTGCCAATGTCCTCTTTCATCAGTTGGGTTAGGAGGGATACCAGGCTGGAAAATATAAAATGACAACAATGCAACACCTCTGGTTTAGTATGCAGAGTAAAATTTTATTGTGGAAACTAAATTCTCAAATTAGTAAAAAGGAAGTAAATCCATCTCTCATCTATAACCAGTATTTTCTTGAAATCAAACTCATCCTACAAAAAACATACTTTTTATGACCTTTGAATCTAAAAATAGGCTCACAATAAAAGGAAGGCAACATTCTCATACTGTATGACCTGGGACATGTAAATGTTGAGACTGAAACTCTACCTGATCTGGTGTTTGTAAGGGTGACAGCTGTAAGGGGGGAGGAGGGAAATCATATGTCCCATTTTCAAAGTCTGGTGGAGGGTAGGTATCTGGTGGGGGAGGAAGAAATCCATCAGGGTCTGAGGGTGATGGCGTACTCTCCTCTCTCACTGTTCCACCATCAGACTGTAGTTGTAATATTCGAAGTATCACTGCTATATCTGAACTCATTTTATTCTCTAAACGAGTCAACTGCCTGAAAGTATCAATAATATTAGCTTCTTAATTATATATCTATATATATTCTCAGCTGATCTAGTATTTTAGGATTGAATCTTAATGAGATATGATTTCAATTATCTGTTCATTTCCCTGTCTACCTTACATTGGTCAATAATAATTGGGTAGCTTTACATGACTGAATAATATTATTGACAGAAATATGGAAATTTTTCCAGAAACATCACACGTTATTATCATTAAGTACATGATATATCATTTTCATTGAACACATTGACATATTTAACATTTTTGGATACAGATAACAAACATAATGCAAATTCTTACCTAGCTAATTCTTCAAGCTTTCTCTCTACCTCAAGAGGATCACGAGGTGCCCCACCAGATGTATGTAAAGAATCAGATACTATGATAGGTAGCGGAGGAACCAAATGAGTATTCTCATCAAATTGGGAATGACTAGAAGGACTGGAAACCGGTAATGTCATACTTGATAAAGATTTTGGCACACTTGAACTTGATGTTACTTTATGATGTGGTTCAGGACTTGCACTCTGTTCCTCTAGTAAGGGTGCAGTCTCTTGACTCTTTTTATTGCTATCATAACGCCCTGTGACAGCATTCATTAGAGAATTCACTCCTGATATGGCACCAGCTATTAGAATAAGAAGAAATTTGAATTTGGTTATTTTAAATAAGAATGACAACTAATTAAAGAGGTGCACATTATATGCTTTATATTCGCAATTATACAGTACATGATGGTAGTTCTGTCTGTAATAAGTTCATTCTGAATTTGGATATTGAAACAGTGGTTTATGGCACATGCAAGATACAAACATATTTTATACCTTTTGTACCACCAAGCATTATCAACATTTTGTTGAAAACATTGTATTCAAAGCAAAAAACAGATGTAAAGATACAAATTTTTAAAGAAAAGTGTGTTTGAAACAAGGATAGATAGTTGTATACCTGCTATAGTTGAAAGCCCAGTTGAAGAGCGCTGTCTGTCTTTGAAATCAAAATTAGCAGGAGTAACATCCATTCCTGCTTTTGCTGGTGTGAATTCTAGGATTCCTGCTCCGCTCTCTCGAACATCCTCATCACTTGAATCAAAAGACATAGATATTGTAGGGCCTTCTTCTTTACCAAACCTTCCTGCATGATTGACACGATGTGGGCGGAACTTATTTTGGACATCATCTGAAAGACAATTATCAGATTGCATGACAATAACTGTTTCACTTCTCATCTAAATTAGTGCTTATCAAATTGTCAAAATTTTCATGATTTATCAAAAACTCTTACCAAAAAAAACTCGGAAGTCGGTTAAAAATCTTACTTATTTTTGTATGAAAATATAGCAATCAATAACTGAACACAGAATAGAAAGGTGGATAGTACAAAAATGTAAAACAAAACAAAGAAAAAGAATGCAAATGCTAAATTGTTCTGATAAGAAATAATTTTTCAATTGAATTAATTGATACAAAATACAATGATCATAAGGAATTCAGTCACTTTTCTTTAGAAATTTGTAGTAAATAGACCATCAGCATATTATTAATTACTAAAGTAGCTTACTCGTGAAAATTAGAAGTAATATAATTATATATGTGGCAACCTCTCTGTATAAGTATAACAAATATTAACGAGATTAATTCAAATCAAAGACATGCTATCATTACAAGCTAAAAACAAAATATAAAACTTTTGAAACTAAACTGAAAAAGTAACGAGAAATACAATGATATCTAATGTGAATTCAGTAAATTTATTCAAATAATCTACACATCATGAAGAAACCATAAATATAAAATGGTTCTAGACAAAAGACTTCCAAATATCAAAATTTGATACTGATCACAAAATTAAAAATCTTCCAATTAAAATACACCAATCACAAATTTTTAGTATTTTAAAAAAAATTGGCACAGGCAAAACAATTCTGACAATCAAAATTCAATTCCATAGAATTGTTAATCTTTGCCAACAATAAGTTGTTAAAAATAACGTGAAGTCAAGCACAATAATAACAATAATAACCATTATGGCATATTTTATTACTAATCCTAGTTTTAACAAATATAGGTACCTGATAACACTTTAGTAGCAAAATCTTCATGTAAACCAAATCCTTAATAAATAATTATCATCTATCAATAACTAGCCCAAATACCCAGAAATTTCAATAAGACTTATTATAGGGCTATATTGTTCATATCATTCTGATGTATGTTTTCAGAAATGATAATAAACTAATTTGAAGACAGAATAAATTTGCTCAGAATGCACATAAATTATTTTGTGATCTAGTGGTTCATGCTGAATTGAAGTATGATATTTATTCCAAAACATTTATCTTGGTGGATAATCCATTCATGTGCATCACTAATAACATGAGAAGGCATTTGGTTACTTCACTCTATGCATCTAGACCCTACCACTCAGAACAATTGCCTGAGAAACATAAATGTAATTAAGTGAAACCTACTGAAAAGTTCTCCATGTCATTAAAATTAGATGAAATATGCAATACTATTATACTATTTTAAATTGGAAATCACCAATACCAAAATATAAAAAGAAAACCAACCTGCAGAGTCCGTGGAATTTCTCTGTGGTGATGACCTGCGTATAGATCTTCGATATCGTATACTGTGACGGGAATCATACTCATCATCTGGTACTCTGACTACCAATACTTCCTGTTTACATTAGAAACAACATACATATTACAGTTTCACAGAAATGTAGTTGATTATAGTAAATTTAAATAGGCCTCTCATTTAGCATTGTAGTAGTCAATTAATATTACACTGGTAAATTGTCATCAAATTAGGTGCCAAGACTTGAAATAAGCGTCCGGTCACGGACATTGGCCGGTACAATTTCAGCAAATGTCCAGTACAATCTCCTTTGAGCCGGACATTTTTGTCCAGTACCAAATCTATGAAAAAATATTTTTCGTGTTGAAAAGATCGTGAATTACCGTGATTCTGATTGTTAATATTGTCAATAGACGTCAAAAAAAGTTGTGTATTCTTGAAAAATGTTCTTTTTCGCGTAACGGATTGACATGTCTCGCCTCGGAAAGCAAATAAGTTCGAAAAGACAATAACATAGTCTAGATCATCCAGATTACTAGCACCCAAGAAAAGACATGCAAGGTCTGGATGATAAAGTCAAAACACAAATAAACGATGTTGACACAATTAGATCAAGTCAAGTCGTTTGCCAAATCTTTTAGTAATTTTAATTTTATAATTACTTTATATAAACATGAGATGATCTTTCATATGGTACTATATTTTATAATCATATTTTATAATTAGCGTCTAATCACGCTTTGATACTTTTATTTCAAATATTACATTTGATACAAAGATATACACTGAGCCGGAGGAAATTGTCAGGCACCATGTTAAATAAACACCACCGGATAAACGCGAGTATTCTTAAAACCGAAAGTAGAAAAATAATGAAAGTAGGAAATTCATTGGCTGATATAAATAGATATCTTTTCTTGTCCAATCAGATAAGTTATTACTTCTGATGGCTCTTTTTTTGTTCCTAGAACTTTTCAACAAGAAACGATTTACTTCAATTATGTCTTTATCGTTTATATAATAATCCCTACGGCCTATTTGAATTACATAAATTATTCTAAGCTAGTTGTTAACCTGTAGGCCTATTGCACTTGCAGGTGAGAAAACAGTAAATTTCAGTCCTAAATTGATGGGTTTTAAATGCAATTTTCAATTGAAAATATCGTATTTTATTATGTCCGGTATAAAATTTCAAATGTTCGACACAAATTGAATTGTGCCCGTGTCTGTTTCAATTTCTGGAGTTATTTCAAGCCTTGTTAGGTGCTTCCAATTAGTTAGTCTTTCTTGTAACAGTGATACAAATTGTCAAGGATCTCAGTTATTTTTCCAAAAACATCTTGTAATAATGATTATCAATGTTTCTTTTTCCATACAGAAACCTTTATTGGAGAGTCTATTTCTTCATAAGCTGTCCTGATAAACACAAACTTCAGGAATTAAGTAAATTTGATTCCTGTTTAAGATATTTAATCTTCATAAGGACCGCTTGTCAAGAAATAGAATCAACTTTGCAAAAGTGTTGATGACATGCAAATCATGTTTTATGAGGAAATAAATTATAAACAAAATTCTGAAAAAACTTACATCTCTCAAATCAAATGTTATTTCTAAATTTTTCACAAAATGTTCTGCAAATTCTGGATACATATCTAATATTTCTAATAGATCATCTCGGTGTATTTTATGTAAATCACAGTATGTCAAGGCACGTACATTACAGCTTGATTTACCCACTGTCTCATGTTTACATAGATTCTCTCCAAATACATCATCTTTACCTGTAAGAATCGTGTATAATTTCAGGAACTTCATGGTTAGGTGATTATGGAAGCTTACTGTATGTTTTTTACTGTATGTTTTTTCCAAAGAATATCTTATTCATAATTATAAACATAGATTCAGTGGATGATTTTTAGCTCAAATGTACTGATCTTCCACGATCCAGGCAAATTCACACATTATATAACAATATATAAATGTAATTCTGATTAAATGATCAAAATACTATGACAAAGAAATGATTACAATATGTGCGTGGAGAATATTAATCACAGAGTGTCATTAGGTGAATAAAACACCAAAAATTATTTCTTACCTAAAATAGCTACAACTATATCATCACGTAATATTTCTATAGAACCTCTAGCTACAAAAAACAGGGCTGTAAGAACATCTCCTCTATGGACTAGAGTATCACCAGGAGGTACATGAGTTGTCTTAAATTTCATTGATAAAGCTCGTAAACAACCAGGACTAGCTCCAGCAAATATAAATGGTCTGGTATCTGAAATATAAATAGAAATGCTTTTTCTGAAAACCGAAACAATGGAATGTTTTTTTCTCTTGAAAGGATTGTAAAGAGGTTTTCTAAACACTTTTAAAGATAGCTTGCCAGGCAAGGTAATATACGCCCACTGATAGCTTTGTTTGAAATTGAATATTTGTTAGAAAATAGAAAACATAGACACCAGGAAATATTCCGTTAAAATCCTTCAAGAATTGTGCCTTCTAGAGTGTTTACGAGCTAAAAATTGAACACGTTTTCAATGACAAGGGCAATAATTCATACTAAATATTTTTTGATTTCGCTGATTTTCAATAGTGTTTATCCTTGGGTGATTACAAATACTCATACCAAGTTTCGTTAAAATCCTTCAAGAATTGTGCCTTCTAGAGTGTTTATGGGCTAAAAATTGAATGCGTTTGCAAGAACAAGGGCAATAATTCATACTAAATATTTTTCGATTTAGCTGATTTTCAAAAGGGTTTATCCTTGGGTGATTACGAACACTCATACCAAGTTTCGTTAAAATCCTTCAAGAATTATACATTCTAGAGTGTTTACGAGCTAAAAATTGAACACGTTTTCAAGAACAAGGGCAATAATTCATACTTAATATTTTTCGATTTCGCTGATTTTCAATAGGGTCTATCCTTGGGTGATAACGAACACTCATACCAAGTTTCGTCAAAATCTGTCAAGAATTGTGCCTTCTAGAGTGTTTACGAGCTAAAAATTGAATGCGTTTGCAAGAACAAGGGCAATAATTCATACTAAATATTTTTCAATTTCACTGATTTTCAATAGGGTTTATCCTTGGGTGATTACGAATACTCATACCAAGTTTCGTTAAAATCCTTCATGAATTATGCCTTCTAGAGTGTTTACGAGCTAAAAATTGAACGCGTTTTCAAGAACAAGGGCAATAATTCATACTTAATATTTTTCGATTTCGCTGATTTTCAATAGGGTCTATCCTTGGGTGATAACGAACACTCCTACCAAGTTTCGTCAAAATCTGTCAAGAATTGTGCCTTCTAGAGTGTTTACTAGCTAAAAATTGAACGCGTTTGCAAGAACAAGGGCAATAATTCATACTAAATATAATAACAGACTTCCCAAACTGTTAAAAAAATATATCATAACAGATTCCTCCAAACTGTATTATAAATTACCTAAAACCACAGACAAGAATCACTAAAAAAAATAATACAGTATAAAATAACCGCATTAAAAATGTCTTTAATTTTAAAACACGAAAAAAAAAAATTCGAAGGAGACGGTTTCTTCTCTGCGCTAACATCTCTCATCCCCAAAGTGGCCAATTTTGTCTCAAACAACAAATCCCTCATTTCCTCAGAAGCGCAAGCTCTTGGATCTGTGGCAAAAGCAGGAGTAAATATTAGCGATGCAGTGAAAAAATCTAACGAACTTAAAGAACTGCAGCTAATAAGAGAACTAAGAAACAAGAGACTAGAACGACAAGCCCTAGAAAAACAAGGAAAAGGGTTTAAAATCATTGGATAAAAATGGCAAGCAAAAATTACAGATTGGATCCAATCTTTCAATTGTATGATCAGATTCAATATTCGTTCAACAAGAAGAAAGAGGATTACGTAATCATCTCACCATCGATAGGGACAAAGACCCAAATAAACGACGGAGGAAGAGTTACCTTTGAAATTAATTCGTTGTCCAATTGGTTGCTGCTTTCCGATGCCCATTTCCGATGCGATTTCAAAATCAAAGACGCCACTCAGAATCGAATTCAACAAACCAACACGACTTTAGAAAACAACTTCTTTCCGTCTTTATTCAGCGAAATGGTTTTGGAAGCTGGTTCAAATCCGATAGAGACCATAAAACACCCCGGCGAGTATGACACAATGTTGAAAACGGTTCTATATCCCAAAAACTATGATTCAGTTTCGGGATGGATTCCCGATGTCGGTGACGGAGAAGTTTTAAAAGAACCGGTCAGAACTGTAGCAAATGACGCAGACCTTGCTAGGATAAGGGTAGTTGCTAGAAACATGCTGGAAAGAGTGACTCGCGGAGTAAATCACGGATTTGAAAAACGAGCGCTTCAATACAACAATGTTGTCGAGAACAACAGATGGGGTTATTACGTTAATTGGAAGTTGTATCCTTTATTTGGTCTCTTGGAACACAGAAAGGTTTGCATAGGTTTTCCGTATAAAATTCATTTGCAAAGAGAAATCAACTACAACAAGATATTCTTTGGTGAAAACAACTCTGACGCAAAATTGGAAATAACGAATATCCAACTTTACATACCGGTAATCACTCCTTCCGTAGAAATGGAAACGAGAATATTCAACTCTTTAACCAAAGACATCGAAATTGCTTTTCTTCGTCGTAACACGGTAGGTAGCATGACTTTAACAGGAGAATCCACCACGTGGCCAATCACCAACACCGTCAAACCAGCGAGATATCTAATAAAAACTTGCCAGACTCTCAGACAAACAACAACAACATTTTCAGAGTGGCATTGAACCATACTCAAGATCCCATCATTCGCAAAGTTCAAGTCAGATTGAACAACGATAATTATCCCAATCAACCTTTGACAATTGATCCTTCCAAAAAAGATTACAACGAATTGTACAGAAACTATAAAAACATGTGCGAATTGTTTGGAAATACGCCTCAGTTTGAATACACAGATTTTTCACTCAATCATCCAATCTTTTGTTTCAATCTGTCAGCTCATCAAGAAGATCTTTTCAAAACAGGGGTAAACATAAATATTCACATCGATAAAACACAAGGAGATGTGACCGGCTACTGTTTATTGCTGGAAGAAGCAAAACATTTGATTAAGATATCAGATAGAAGAATGATAAGAATTGAATAAAAAAACACCCTTTAAAAATGAAACCAGAAACTTTAGTTATGAAAATAATAGAAGCTATGGAAACGAATTCGCCGACTCTAATAACTTACAACGGTAAAAAAGTGCATATAACCCAAAAGATTATCGATAAATACAAACATTGCAAAGTCAGAGACGATATAGACTTGGAAAGAATTGATGAGAATTTAACTAAAAAAGGTGGATTTTTACCTTTCTTACCTTTAATCTTTGCTGGTTTAGCTGCAGCTGGTGCAACTGCTGGTGGAGCTGCTGGGATAGCCAAAGCTGTCAACGATAAGAAAGCTGAAGCCGCTGCAAACGCCGAAGCGCGTAGACACAATTTGGCAATGGAAAGAGAAGCACGAGGAGGTTCGGGAGTAGGAGATATATTAGGGACGGTTAAAGAATTCGGACAAAGATTTGGCGAAGAAACCAAGAAAACCGTTAAAGAGGGATTAAGCAAATTAATAGATAAAATCGACACCGGAGAAATGAAGGTCAAACACAAGGGCAACGCCATATTTTTAAAAAACATACGTTCGGGCGAGGGAATCTTCCTTTCAAAGTATGAAGGCAACGGAGTGATTTTTAGTACGAAAATGTAATAAATAAAAATGGGCAAGAAATTCAAACATTCGGACATATTTCCTAGTAACCCAATGTTCATGTGCATTTGCGGTAGTTCAGGTTCTGGGAAAACTCATCTCACTTTTAACATGTTGACAACACCAAACCTTTTAGATTTCGATTCTCTGTATATCTACACAACAACACCAGAGCAATCGTATTATCAATTCCTCAAAGCTTTAGAATATTTACCAAAGAAAGACATTCAAGACATATTTCAATATTACGAAGAAAACGAAGAAGAAGTGGAAATAAAAGATATCATAGAAAACTTCATTAAATCAAAGAATCCATCTTTCAATCCAACGGATATAAAAGTTTTTCTTACGAAAAATGTTAATGATCTAGACTTGTCTAATATTGATAGCAATCGAAAGAACTTAATATTGTTTGACGACTGCGTAGCGCAAAGAAATCAAACTGTTCAACAAGAATTCTTCACCAAAGGAAGACATCACAACTGTCACTGCATATACCAATCCCAATCTTTTTACGGTATGGATTCTATGTTCATTAGAAAAAATGCAAATTGTTTTTTATTATTTGAATTAAACGACAAAGATTTATCTCTAATCATTCAGTCTATAAATCACGGAATGGATAGAGATACATTTAAAAAGGTTTGTAAAGCTCAATGGAGAAACCCAGATGATCATGGATATGTATTTGTAAATACTAGAAAACCTGCGGGAGAAAGAGTTATGATCGATATATGTAAATTTTATTTTTTTAAAAATGACGGATTGGAATAATTTTTTAAAAAGAAATAGAGAATATATCAAAGCTAAGAATAAAATAAAGACCCAAGTTGAAAATAACAGATTGCAACAACTCGGATTAACGGAAAATCTACAGACTCTATTTCAACCCATATTAAAAAGTCAAGAAGATATTAAAAAGAGACTCGTTATAGAACCCACCCCTCGTTTGAAGCGATTGAATATAATGGTATTATAATTAAGACATTAGATGATATAAAACGTCTTTTTTCAAACCCTGACCCAGATTTACCAAAGAGCATTTCACCAATCGTTGATGATGAGGGTTTGTTGTTTAATGGTTTTAGAATAAGATTTAGTGGAAATTCACCACAATTCAAAATCGACACAAAAGACTTTATATTTACATTAACGAGAGGGTTAATAGATTTAATGAATGGCGAGGATGTTGAAATTGCCGATTACAAGGATTTAGTAGCATACTCAAAATTTCTACATGCGATCAGAAAGTCAGGACCCGAAACAAGAAGATTGAAAGAAGTTGATTTATATATAACAAAAGTTATTGAGCAAGATGAAGAGGATGTAGATGATTATGCAGAAGATTATCCAATCATACAAGAAATAGACGAATTCGATGATATGGTGCATCTGGACAAGGTATAACGTTTTTATCCGACAACAATAAAGAATTGCTTAATAGATTAGAAATAATATAATTAAAAATAGAAAAAAATCATCACTAAAAAAGACTATAAAAACGTCATTAAAAATGTCCAATAAAGAACAATTGTTCGTTATCACCTCAAATAAATCAGAGATCAAATTGTCTCTAGACTACGAGTATGAACTCTATCGCAATAAACAGTACGAACTGGGATTAAAGTATTTCTCCGTTTACAATTCCATTAGAAACATCAACTAAAAAAACAATCAACTAAAAATATCGACGGATAACGGAGTTACGTTCAAAACCATAAGCTTACTAGCGGGAAGCTACGAACACGTGGCCATCAACGATTACCTATCCGAATACGCAGGAAGCGTGAACGGCAAAAACAATATCGAATTCGAAGGTAATTTGAATCTGAACAAAATGAAACTGATCTTGAGAAATAACGTTCAAGTCGATTTCAACGAAGAAAATTCGTTGAATGCGTTACTAGGGTTCGATAAATGAATATACGCGCAATCGACATTGGCGCCGCACAAGGCCAACATCGAGAACGACATCGACGTGATCAACATTCACTGTAATTTGATCAACGGTGGATTTTTCAACAAGCACAAACGCCAAATCATATACAGCATACCGACTTTTACAGTGCCGATCGGATACAGAATTATAGAGAAACCGTCTCAAACGACCTATTTACCAGTCAATTCTTTCATGATCAAAGATATAAATCTGGAAATCAAAGACGGTAAAAACAGGTTCATAGACTTTGGCAACCAAGAAATTGTCATTCAACTTCATTTAAAACAATCTTCATTCTCTTCTTGAATATTAAGATAATCGAAATCATCAAATTCATAGTTTTCGTCAAAACTATACTCATCTTTGTCATTGTAAGGATACATGATTCCTTCACTGTTTGGTGGTTTTCTTTTAACATTATTCAAATAACTTCTAAAAACTTTAGTTTGTTTATCATTTGGAATAACTACTCCATTGATGAAACTTTTTTCCCATGGTTTATTAAATTCGTTCGACACATCATGTCCGCTTGCTAACTGATCGTAATCTTCTACACTTATCTTATCATTAGAATAACCTTTGAACGTTTTCTTTTCTTTTAAAACACCATCAGAAGTCAAAACGATGTTGTATTTGACTTTTGGTGCTAAATATAAACCAAATATAATTCCACCGTCACCGTAATCGTTTTTAACCTTTGCAATAGTCTTTTTCGGAGACCAAACCAGCTCTGTTTAGTTTTTTCCAATTGTTGGATGAAATGTACAAACTATCGGTGTCGGTATAGAATATTTCGGGTTTATAAAATCCATTTATGACGTGAATGAAATTGTTCATTATTTTTTTTACTGTGAGATAAAACGAATGATCCCAAATGACTAGGTGTTAGTCGTGTAGATTTACTGTCTTCGGTAGTAATCTCTTTTTCTTCAATTTCTGTTTCAACAATATATTGAGTATCATTAATTTTCTCATAGGTTGTAACGCGTGAATCAAAGTTGGCCTGTAAAGTTGCTTCATTCCATAAATGTCTAGTTGTGAATATATCTTTCTGAATTGATTTACCATACAAGGAATTACCTAATAATTTCATGCAGTTACTACCCACGATATTACCTTCTCGTTTATAGTTATTTCTTAGATCTCTCAAAATTAAAATATAATCTCTATAGGGTGGAGTTTTAAAATTTTCTTCGTAAACTATACCATCTAATATTCTAATAATTCGTCCACCGGCTTTCACTATTTCTTGAATATCGACCGATGTTAAAACGTCGTGACAGAAACCATTTCTAAACCTGATTTTGTTACCAGTTTCCTTTTTACCTTCTTTATTCGTGAAAGTGATTTTATCTTTAGCTGGTATCAGTTGGAAGAACATGTTTTTGGGATAGTCAAACCACACTGTGAAAATAGCTGTTCTAGGTCTGAATTTTTGTTTATTGAAGAGTTTTACAAATCCTTCTTCTTCTTCTGGTAGAAACGGTCTTCCACTTTCCGCTCTCGGATATTCACTGTCTAAATCCGACATGGCGGAAGCGTATAAACCGTTAGCATCAAATGCCATTAGTTTAGTACATTCTATTTTTTTAAGTCTCGAATGAACCTCTGTTTTGTCTTTTGTGCTTGCGCTGTATTCTTTGAATAAATCAATTATGTTATTACTTTCAAGTTCTGTATATTCCTTTAATACGTTACAAATTTCATCCATTTTGTTCGTTTCAAATGATTTTCTATTTGCCGAAACTCTTCCTCCTTTAATAGATCGTCTGATAAAATTTCTTATAAAAGGATTAGTGTGCGAATAAACTTTTTCTACGTTTTCTTTTTCGGTATGTTTCGCAACCATTCTAGTAGTTTCATACCATTCTTCTTCCACCATTTCTTTATCGTAATGATATAAATAATACCAACCCTTTAAAGATAAAGATGGAGCCGTTAGATTATTGGACATATTCTGGTTTACAACTTCTTTCGTTACTTGGTTGTATTTTATCAAACAAGCTCCCAAACAGAGAGTGTCTCTTTTGGCGTAAGGTTCCCATTCGTGTCTCAATTCCTCCCAGTTGTCTTGCGTGTATTTAGCGATATCTACGTCGGCAATCTTTCTCAAATTCGCGGGAAGATTGGAAGAATTTCCCCATGCAGCCAGACTAGAGGATTCGTGTTGGTAGGAACACGTGAAATTAATATGTTGTAAATAATTACCCTTTATTTCTTTCTGTCTTTTCCATTTTTTCTGTAAATCTTCATCCGTGTATGGATTAGATAAAGGAAAAGATAGAATTCCTCGGGGTGTTTTTAAAGGGCAATGCGTTTGTTTTTTTGCATTTTTAAGCACGATCCAGTTGTCGAATCCACTGCCGTTGTGAGAAATTAATATTAATCTCTTTCTATCATATTGACCTAAATATTTCAACATTTGATCTATACAATCTGTACCTACAAATAGTTCTACTACATTCATTAGTTTATCATAAAATTCTTCTGGAACATTATCAGTAGGATTTATATTTGGAAAGATATTTTTTATCGTTTCTAACTTTTTTCTTAGTTTTTCTAAATCAATTAAAGTGCAGGCATAAGGAATTGCTCTTCGCGTGTCTTTTTCTGAATACGTTTCGCAATCCCAAGCGAATAACGCATCATCGCTCATACTCGAAAGCACATTTAGTTTGAGGGGTGAAACTTGTGTTACTGCGTTATCGTCTCTACACGTTTTCCACACCTGTTCGTAATTGTCTTCTATTTCTTGAATTCCCAAACTTTTTTGGCTTCTTCTAATCAGACAGAAATGCGAGTTGTGTAAGTAAAAAACCCAATCTAATTCATCGTGAACGTCTCTGGGGTGAAAATGTCTGTTTTTGGGATTATAAATTTGAAACGAAGTGTTGAATTAGAACTGTGCTCGCTGTTTTGAAAAAAGAATCGATTCTACTCCATGTTTTCCTGCATGTATTGCACTGTCTCAACTTTATTTTCAACTCTTCTTGTTTGTCTATCATGTATTGTTGTCTGCTTTCGAGTTCCATTTTTTAAGTCGTTAAATTAAGTGAATTTCCGATAAATGGAACCACGGAATATCGTTTAGAGCGCGCTTGTTTGGCCTAGCATTATTATATTTGCGGGTATTAAAAGTAAAAACATTTACGCGTACTAACGACATTTCTTTTTTCGTATGGTCCTCTTTAAGATGATAGGAATATTTTATTTTTTCTTTTCGATGTATATCTTGGCTCTAAAAATAAAACCACCACCTTCAAGGATGGAGTCTTCGGCAAACGATAAATGCACTATAAACTCTCTTTCTTGTTGACTTTTATGAACATCGAATGAGGTATATTTTTCACCTAAAGCGAAATATAGTTTTACGTATTCAAAGTCTGTTGTTCGTAAAAACCTGCGACTGGTCGATTCTATTTTTCCGTGTACGTGTAAGCGTCGTGGAGTTTTGACAATGTTGGTTGATGGTGGATTTTCCGTCTCCAATATCATATCTAAATCTTTGATTCCAATGATATCCTTATCATTTTCTACTTCCATTTTAAAGGTGTCTACATATTTACCATTTTTCGTTTCAATTTCCTGATCCCTTTTATCAATCAAACGTATATTCTCTTCCAAATTACCATCATTGAATAATGAAATATGTTTGACAGCATTACCAGTTTGTTTGAAGACTACTTTATTGACTTTAACCTTCATGGGAAACTCTATTTGAATCAGACAATTACCTCGAAAAGAAAACTCTTGCGTTTCGCCGATATCGAATACGTTTTTAGGTTCTCCGTATGCGAGAGTACCTACTTTTATTTCTGCTTTGAATCCGTATTTGTTTGATTTATAAATTTGGTCTTTTTCATCGAAGACTTTGTCACTTTCGAATGGAAGATTGAAATAATACGATTTGTCCGTGACAATAGCTTCTAATTTGGTCAACTTTCTCTCTTGTCTCAAAAAATCGTCATGAATTCTAGATACCAAAAGATTGACCTGTTCTTTAATATAATTTTTCATATCATCTCGAAATTTATTTTGAAGAAAGTTTTTAATCACTCCCACTTCTTTTTCTAATTCGTCCGTGATTTTAGTATCCAAAGCAGTCAATTGTCGTTTCAACGTATCTTTGTCAATGGGAAGTGTGTTAATTATATCTTGAACATCTGATTTTTGCTTCGCGATCTTTTCGTTCAAATTGGATATCGAATTTTGTAACTCGGTTTTGTCTGCGGTCTTGTCTAGTTCTGCTAGCAATTCGCCAAGTTTTTTTTCCAAAGCGGTTAGTTTTCATTTCAATCTATGCTCGTTTACATTTGGGTTGTCTATTAAACGTTGGACGTCTATTTTTACGTTCGTAATCTTATCGTCTAATTTAGATATTAAATTTTGGAACTGACTTGTTTTATCCACTTGAATAAGACGTTTCAAACTCGTTAACTCTTGTTGTAGTTTGGGTTCGTCCACAAGATTTTTAATATTTTGTCTGAGGTATCTTTTCACGTCATTTATTCTATTTTCAACATGGTCCTTATCTATTTGAATTGCGTTTATTTGATCCAGTAAATATTTCTTGCTCATGGCATCGTTATCGTTTCCTGGAAACTTTAAATTAGTTATTTTGAAATTGTTCATATCGATATCCCCTTGTAAGGTGTCTCCGATTTGATCCACGAAAAAAGGTTTCACTTTGTTTATAAACGTCGTCATGGGATTTTTGGATTCTAGAGGTAAAGACCCTAATCCAAACTTGTTTGCCATTTTTATTGAGTTAAATTTATTATAATTTCTTCAAACTTTTCTCCCAAACTCAACCGATATAAAACCCAAAGCGACAGCTGTCCACACAGCTTTTGTCCTGGCATTTGAATTTGAAACGTAGAACATTTGATTGGTTTGCTAGTCAATTTCGTAATCTCTTCTGTCGGTTCTAGACCGAAAGAATCAAAGAAATAAAAGTTATTCGAAGAATCTTTGTGTAGAGCAGAGTGATGAACTCCTTTTTGATCCGACGTGTGAATGTTTGTGATGGCGTAAAATTTACCTTTCTTGTATTTCAGTTCATCAATTTCATCTCGCATGCAATAATAAAACGGTGAGACGTTCAATTCCTTGGCCCATTTCACAAGTTGAAAGTTTGTGGTCGTGTCTTTTCCGTATTTATCGAGAAATGCATTCATTTTTTAAGTCGATTTTTTTAAGGTGTTTTTTGAAGTAGGCGGTAACTATTGCTGAAGACCCAATTGACGAAATATATACGTAGTTTGTGTTTGAAAAAACTTGTATAACATTCTGATAAAACACATTCAATAATATTTTGAAGATAAATTTACATTTATATTTAAAAAATCTTAATTTAAGAGAGCGAAAATGCCTGTCAACATCTAAATTTCTTAACCTTTCATCTAAATCTTCATTTTCGAGATTAATTTTTAAAAGTCAGTTTTTTGAAGTTCATTTTGATAAAACCTTCCTATGATTTGTTCTTTGTCTTGATCGATCAATTCATACGTGGGAGGTGATGTGTTGTTTACTTTATCAACGATGAATATCTCGTTAGTCCAATATCCGACGTAACCTTTCTGAAACAATGATTTATATTTAAAAATACGAACTCGATCTCTAACTTTGAATTTGGGTTTAATATTCAAATTGCTAATCTCGTTTTCAATGTTGTTTCGAGTGTTGACGGACTTTATGATATTTGGATTATTAGAGGCTTGCGATGGCGTCACACCTATAGACGAATGTATTTTGTTATTGTATTCGTCGACAACAACTGGTAATATTTTAAGCCATTTTTGAGATTTCAATTCCTTGAATTTCTTGAATAATTTGCTTTTAAGAGTCCTGTTGAATCTTTCTATCACTACGGCTTTACCTTCGTTATGCGTGCTGTAAATTTCAAACCCCAGAGATTTCACATTTCTGTTGTAGAATTCGCTTCCTTTATCAACCCACAACTTTAGGGGTCGTCTGTCGGATTGTTTCATTATGGTTTCGAATGCTTGTTTGACAGTCAGACCCGATTTGTTTTTCAAGGGAAAGACCCAAGCATATCTCGTGTATATGTCGATCACCGTCAAACAATACTTGTACCCTCTCTCGACTGGCATGTTGATTAAATCGGCTGACAAAATTTCATCTTTATCAAAAACTTTGACTTTGAGGTAATGTTTGTTTTTTTCGAAATTCTTTGTGAATCTCGTCTGCTATGCCCATACCCAATTTCAATTTTGCCTTCAAGAGTTTTATAAGAGCCCTCTGTAATTTTTCTTTGAAAGTGGGATTGGGAATATTTTCGAGTTCGTCTATCATTTGTTTGTCTGCTTGGTGTCTGAATGTTACGTCTTTGTTTCTGTACAGTATGTCGTGTTTGAGCGCTGCTGCGTCAACTCTATTAACGGGTTCTTCCCCTGGTTTGGGATTATCATTTTCGTCTAAATCGCTAGATCTAATCTCGTGCCTGGACCTGTATAATTGTGCCCTGGGAGATGTTTTTCTCCGGGATATTTTGCCCATGGGAATCCAGGAAGAGAACCCAATGACTTTTTAATGTCTCCCGCACCGAAATACGTTTTAGGATGATGGACATTTATTAAAGACATATTTGTTCAATAATGAAATAAACACTTATATTTTTAATACGAAAGATTTAATACAAGAAGAAAACTATTCAAGCGATAGAAATGAATCATTAGATCTTTTCACTGCATCTACTCCTGAGGAAATTTGTTGTTTGAGACAAAATTGGCCACTTTGGGGATGAGAGATGTTAGCGCAGAGAAGAAACCTTCGAATTTTTTTTTCATGTGGACGTATAAAAAGGTCTTTAGAACACTTTGGTGATAGTGAAGTCATATGTTATTCAGAATTTATATAAACAAAAAAGCTAGAAATCATCTTAACCCTTTGAACCCCGCGTGTAAAGGAAATAAAACATCATATACCCTGAACTCCAAGTAATTGTCAAAGTGTATGACATTTATGTTGTGTGATATCAGTTGGTAACTGCCGGTTTAGGGGCTGCTCAGGTATATATTGTGTAATTTTGTGGGTAGTAAATTGGTCGCTGGGGTTGAAAGGGTTTCCTCAAATTATGTTATTTAAAATGAATGGTCTTGAAGATTTGAAGAATATTAAAAATAAATCCAGTTGATCACAGAACATAATCAAAGCATACATTACTCTTACCTTTGAAAGCTGGACAATTATTCAGTAAATTACGATTTAGATGGAGGCAAATATCAGCTTGCAAACATTCAGGAAAACTTTTTAATACCTGAAACAATTATTTATTGAACTAAATTGACACTTTATATCCAGTTTGATACACCAAGATCCCTTCATTGAAAAATTCTCTGTATTGAAACAACACTAAAATACTCAAAAAAGTGAAATGTAACAGCACCTAAATGTTCTTTATAGTCCTGAATGGCCTAGTATAGTGAAATAAAGTGTTTTTCAAGATAATAGTACCATACCATATGATTTCCATACTAACTGACGAAATCTAATATGGTGTATCTTGTAACATTAGATCCAAGATTAATAAAAGAAACCACCAAATAAATCATAAAATGGAAATCTTACCTGATTCATATCTATTCCATTAGTATAAGACCAGGCATGTTGGAAGTACTCTTCTAATCGTTGTCTTAAAGGATTGGGAATTTGGTGAAAACGGATAAATTCTTTAATTCGTAACATTTGAGTATGATATCTTGCGGTACCGGAATACAACCTCTGTATAATAGCACTCACGTTACCAAAAATACTTGCATACATAAGAGCTGAAAGTTATAAGATAACTTTTTGAGGGCCTACCAGAATAAAAAGACATGGGACCTCTTTCTTAACATTATGACGTAATAACTACCAAAATATTTTCTTTTGGAAGATGCTAGTCATGTTAAAGAATTTTCAATTCAAATTTCCCAATTTTGTTATACATTCCATTATTTATAACATGTATACAACTTCCTCTTTAGAGAGCTCAAATGTCAGACAGTTCCAAATGATACTCTTATACTGGAGATTTCAATGGTACTTTTATTTTAAAAAAAACATCCTCTCAAATTGCTCTCTAAACTCTAAAATATACTTACATCCTATCAACATAATGAGTATAGAAAAGATTTTTTCAGAGTTGGTATTAGGAGACACATTTCCAAATCCCACACTTGTTAAACTACTGAATGTAAAATATAAAGCAGTAACATATTTTGATTTGACTGTTGGTCCACTGTTAGTGTCATTAGGTAAATAAAACTGGTGTGTCTGTCGAGCTAGTTCATCTAGCCAACCAATCTTTGGTTCCTTTAAATAAGGTCTTTCCACATTTCCTATTGCATACCATATACAAGCTAACCAATGAGCAATGAGAGCAAAAGTTGCCATTGATAACAGTAAAACAGCAGCACCATATTCCGAGTAACGATCTAATTTTCGTGCCACTCGCACCAATCGTAATAAGCGTGCTGTTTTTAATAACCCAATTAAAGTGGTGGTCTAAAATAGAAAACAGTTGACAGTGAGTAATCATGTACATTGTACTTATCTTTAATTGTCAAGTCAACACATCAATGATTGCATTCAATTCTTATGTAACTAAGGAGTAAGGATGGTACAGTATCTATATTCATGTTGACAAAAGTAATGAGATTTATATAGTTATAATTGGACACTTTCTTAGATTTTTCCTTTAGTATAACTAATGGAACTCCTATAGTACATTGGCATCACCTTATGATTTCGTGGTTCATCTGAAGACATATTACATGAAAAACTCTTACCTCATCAGTTTCTGATCCAAACAAAAGGAGATCAAAAGGAATGGCTGCCACAACATCAATCAGAAACCATCCTTTAAAATAATGTACAGCTATTTTTCCTGGATGGCTCACAACTTCATCATTTTTATTGATATAGGTAGTTCGAAAATTAATAAATATATCTATTATAAACATTATATCCACTATTAAATCTATTATTGTCATAGGATCCGAGTAACGACTCTCTGCTGTTTCTCGGGTAAGAGACTTTTTCTCCTCACTTAATAGAAATGCTGCAGCATAGGGTGTAAATATTGCTGTATAGATCACAAGTAACAAGATTATCCAGTCCCACACAGCTTTAAATGGCGAATAATGGAGGATTGTACATTGATGAATTCGTTGAGACTGAAGTTTATATTCTGGCATAACATCAGCCCCCAGGGACAGCACCTGAAATTAACACAAAAAAAAACTCATTAAATTGGGGTTAACAGTGAAATCCAAATATTTATTTTAAGTCATTTATATAAATATCTTTATAAAAATTACTAATTATGTAAATTCTCTAAAATTTCTAAAATAAGATTTCACTGTTCACTTTAAAATTTCTACTACATAAATAAACCTTGTTTGAAGATTCATGATTCAATTCTAATTCTAGTTGTGTCTATTAGGTTAATGCAAATCATATGATTTTTCTTAACAGTGGTTGCAAATGATATGGTTATATCTTAATTGTGATTGCAAACAATATGCTTTTAACTTAACTGTGATTGCAAATGATATTGTTCTGTCTTAACTGTGATTGCATATGATATGGTTATATGTGATTGCAAATGATATGGTTATATGTGATTGCAAATGATATGGTTATATGTGATTGCAAATGACATGGTTATGTCTTAACTGTGATTGCAAATTATAAGACTATATTTTAAAAGTTATTTTAAAGCAAATGATTTCATCTTATGAAGTTAGACATATACTAACTAAAAAGGGAAACTATTTGAGAGATTCACCATTAGCTACTATAGTAAGCTGAATTGATATTTTGTGAAAAGGTTTATCCATGTAAAATGATATCTTTATAATGTGTTTTCTTAGGCTGCAGACACTCTTTTGGAGCTGAATGTTAAGCAGCAACATGCCTAATGGATGGTATAATGTATCTCTAACATTTGGTAATGAATAAATACAAATTATTATTAATGACTGCTAGCAAGTATTTTGTAATAGAGATCCAAAGAAAAATCTTACATTTGTTGATTCCTTCTCCATGAAAAGCACCAGATAACCACACACTTTGTAGAAATAATAACATTGGTTCAGACCTTGTTTTAACAATCTCATTTAGAACTAATGTTCCACATATTTAGAAAATAAGAAACAAGTTACTAGACTCAAATGGTCACAATTTCATAAAATGATATGGTCGTTTTATTTTTCCTTAAGATACACATTATGTCACTCAAGATTTAGATTGCCAACAATTTTCAACCATCAAGTAATAAATATAAATTCTAAAATCTTAGCATAGAAAGTGTTTGTCAGTTATCCGATCTATCAGTTACTTACAAACCCAGTAAAAACACAGTTCAAACACAGGATGTTACTTTATGGTTGTGTAGTAACCTTATAGCCACTTGCATATAAATAATCCAATTCCAACATCAATAACATCATCAATTAGTGTTACGTTCTAAAGAGCACTTGTCAATCAAAAGCTAAAAATGAAGACAAGCTGAAAACATGAAGTCTAACACAGTAATAATGAGGTATTACATAGTTATCATTAAAACATTTCCTTTATGCTTGCATTTAAACTTCCATTGCATCTTTATTTAATCAAAGAAATAAAACATTTTCACATTCCAAAAACATTAAGAAAGACAATTTCTCATATATCTAGTATATTTAATGTGAGGGTAAAAAAACATTTCTCATATTACCGCTAGAGACTTATAGACAAGCCAAGAACTGATTGGTTGATCTATTTCTATTAACTGTCAATTAATAACTAATATACTCCTTACATCTGCTTATTTTTCAACTCTTGAATGACAACAGACGTTTATATTAGCTGCTCCCCATTCCAATTATAACTCACTTATCTTTAATTATCAAATTACACCAGAAATTGAAGAAATGGAGTTCAGAGTGTGGGAAGAACAAATATTGTATAACAATCCATTCTCTGTGGGGAGGACATTCTAAGTTACTGAATCTACATGAAGATCAGGTGGAGTAACTGTCCATTATGACTAATGTACTTGCTTCTTGTTTCACCTTTAAATTAGCATTTTGTCCACCTTCCAAACCTGTTGAGAGCTGATCTCATCACAACCCTATGACCCACAGACACAATATAAACAGTAAACACTACAGGATCACTTTCTATTGAAAAGATGTGATTCACTACTACCACAATACAGAATGAGTATCCAACTTCTGAACTAGAATCACTATATAGATTGAGTATTTTGTCCACTTCCTGAACCAGTTTCAGATTCAGACCTTTATAGAGAATATATAGGAGTATTCTGTGAACTTTCTGAACAAACCAATTCAGATCTGAACACCTCCCTATGATCTGTAGTCTGACACATAAAATCACATGAGATCAGGTGGCTGAATATACGAAGACTTCCTATGTGAATTTCACTGGAAATATCAAATATCATTGATGATCAGAAAACAAGGCCATTCCGGGTAGCAAGAAAACTAGTTTTGGTTACATTTAAAATTTATAAACTTTAAAACTTTACCCTGATTTAGAAATATATAAGTGAACATTACACTTCTTTCTCTATGAACGATTTGTCTATTTCAAGAAACAAAATATCATGACTAAGTTAAGACATGGTCTGCTTCTGTGAGGTCACAACTCTACTCTAATTCAAAGTTAGATATAGCAAACTAGCAGACATTCAATCTCAATTAACCAGAATTCAAAGTTCCTCAATACTTAAATAGTTTTTATGAAAAGCATTCAAATTTCCTTAATAGTCTTAATACTGTCATAACCCAACTCTGTCTGTATTTGAAGGCAATTTATTCAAAAATTGCCTGACGACATAGTGGAAATAACTATACAATATTTCTTACTCTGACAAGCGTAATGAATTAATTACAGTCGTCTTTATACCGATGATAAATCATGCAACAGGTAATTGGACATAATGATACACTTTACTACATTCTGTTAAATAAAATGTTCAATAAATAACCTACTTAAATACTAGCTTAATTCTAAAATAATTCCTATGTTCTGAAAGAAAACATTAATTGTGAAAAGGCTTAATTTAAACAAAAAAATAAACATATAGGATAATTATTTGGTCATACAAAAAATATTGCATTTGAAAGCATAATTGATAAATGGTTAACACTTTTACAGGCTCAATATTTGTACACATCCAAACATTTTTTCGAAAGAAAAATAGCTCGCCAGAAAAGGATATATATGCCCAATGACAGCTTTGATTTTGAATAAAAATATTTAGCAGTACAGTAACAATCACTAATATGAAATATTCAACCTTCCGTCATACATTTCTTTTGAACATATTGGGCGATTCTGAATAATATTACCAAGTTTTGTCAAAATCCAGCAAGAATTGAAAGCGTTTTCAAGAACAAGGTCAATAAATCCTATAAAACATTTTTTAATTTTTTGATTTTGGGTTCATTTATAGGTGATTATAAATAATTTCACAAAATTTTTACGAGCTAAAAATTGAATGAGTTTTCAAAAACAAAGGACAATAACTCATACAGATCTTTATATAACAGTAAAACTTGAATCTAAGGCATAGATATCTATATGTACAATTATCCATTTCAACACGACCACAAAAAATTTCTTTGACAAATAGATAATTGAAGCAATAAGTTGAATTTGAAAAGGATTTCAACGAAGAGGAAAATTATCAAATTATATCCTTGGGCTTTCATCATTATTTTATACACGCATCAATACATCAAATTATACTTGTATGCTTCAAGGTGATTCTTACCAACATAATGAACTAATTGAAATCTCAAAACATTATCAAAATTCAACATGAATCTTCTAATTGGCAATTGAATTTCTCTGCAAGACAAGCTCTTCATTTGTTCTCACTCTGATATTCAAAATTTACATGTTTTAATAGAAAGCTCAATGAGAGGGAAATAGTCTTTTTGTATTTGAAGGCCAGCCTTTGGACGACATTTAGAAGTAGAAAGAACATTAAATAAATAACAACAATATTATGGATAAACTACTACTTCATTTAACTTAAGCGAGTTGTAGTATATGGTTTACATTTTCAACATTATAAATGTTTGAATAAATTTAAAGAAAAAAGATTTCCCTACATCAGGTAAAATATTAGAGTCAGCTGTTTGGTTTAGTCGTAGAAATAACAAGTTAGAATCTTATAAAAATAGATAATAATATGAAATATCAGTAGATATGTCTGTTGAAATTATATCTTTTATTTCATTTCTGAATCATTCAACAGCTGCTTGAATTGAATTTCAAAATAATCTTTAAATAATTCCTGTAGATATGGAATAATTCTGTTCACTAACCACTGAAAGTTTCAACACATGTCTAAACCCTTTATGTCTCATTCTTTTTTTCCTTTTCCAATTTGATTTTATCAACTTTACCACAAAGTAACCAATAATGGGTTTAAATAAATAAGTTATACATGTCTATTCAATTTGTGAAATATGTGATTAAGCTTACAAGAAGTTATCTGATATTACTGCATGGAATACATGGTTTTTAAGTTTTTAAGATTATTCAACACTTTGTGCTTACTACTTCTGAAGACTAATCATGACTAATACATATCCAGTATCAGTGGAATATTGTTCTTTTTTCCTTTGAATATTTAGTAGAGAAAAAGAATTTAAATCCCCAAAACAACCATCAACACAATCAAATTGAACTTAATCACAGACATACTATTTGTTTTATTGTACAGATCTATTCATATAAAACACCCAGAATTCACAACAACTTGATTAAAAAAAACAGGCTGGATCATATGTATTAGCTAATATCAACATAATAACACAACCATCATTGATATAAACAGACTTTTGGTCTTTTAATCTTCTGGCATTGAACCAAATTAACTTGTGAAAGGTTATCAAATACATCATTATAGTCTCGTATAACAAATTCTGCCATCTTATTTCTTCCTATATATAACTTAGTATTTAAAATCAAAATTTCAAATAATATCTCTTTGTCTACTTCATGGCAAGTTTAAATATTTTATAAAATTCAACAATGTTATCATTGATAAATTGACTTTTTGGTGCAATTACATGCCACATTGATATTCTTTTAAATAATAGTTTTGAAAGAAGTGTTTTTTCATTTCCTTGTTTCATTGCAATCTTGAAAAAAGTATATAAATAACAAATGTTCTGAATTACCTCTTCAACTTTTG